AATAGTCTGAGCCTCCGACAAGATGTCTTGGAAGTGAGGATGATGCGAGAAGAAGTACGTTAACGAAGGTGGCTTCCGGAACAAAACCACGCGATCGCTCAAGACGTGGGGGAAGGAGGGGGGAGGGACGATCCAGTCTGGCGATTGCTTTTTGTACCCTCCACTCTTACGGGCAATCCTAGGTCCCCTCCCCCATTCCTGCCGGGCGCCCCCCCTCCACTGCTCTGATGCGGGTGACATCCGCTCCGGTGCTGGATGCGCTGTGAGAGGGTGGTGGGGTCTCAGCGCTAAGGCACCCGGTGCAGAAGCCGTACAGGGCCCGCGCTCGCCTGCAGCAAGGGCGATGCGGGGCACCTTACACCTCACCTGTGGGCGCCTTCCAGTTTCACCGAGGTACGCCTGCCTTCTTGGACGACGTGCCAACCACCTGAGATGTTTTGACATTCAATTCTGACCCTCATGATGTTATGACTTGATGCACAGAGTCCCTGATATCACAGTGGATATCTACCGGCCATGTCGGCGAATCGCGTGTGGTTGCAACGGCGTGTAAGACAAGATTTTGACTTTGCAAGGCGATCGGGAGGATTCAGCAATGTCGTACCGCGAAAAGGACCGCCTGGGGAACAAACATAAATCTTGATTGGCTGACAGCCAGACGGACACAGCTGGAAAAAGGTAAACTCAGCGGTGAGGAGCTGGGATGGTGTCGTAAACATTGGATGCTGCACAAGTCATGACCGATCTGAATGAGGAATAGTATTCAGAAACTTCATTATAGCCCGTTGGACCTTGAGTCTAATGCTCGTAACCACTATAATATACTGAAAAGGTCCGTCTTTTGACGGGCATTTATCGTCGCTTTTCTATGCCGTAAGCGTAGCACCCTCTGCGGTGCGGGTATCAAACCATATATCATCATATCCAGCCCGCGACTGAGCCAAATTATGAGATCCTTAACATATGGAAGTCAAAGACGCCTCATGTCGAGGCTGATCGCGGCTCGTCAAGAATCTCCAAACCTCCCGTATCATCGTATCCCACGCGCTCTTCATGCACAGCCCTTTGCATCTCATCTCGAAGAACTGTCTTCTCGCCGGTGACAGGATCCCATTCCCATCCTTCACGCATCCACATCCATCGAAGACACGCCCGAAGCTCCTTGTCATCGGGGCGCACTCTCATCCACTCGGGTTGGAAATTGGGCGCTGCGCCTTTGCCGTTCCAGTCATTGGCCCGCCCCAAAAGCTCGTCCCGACAGAAGATTCGCCAGCTGTCCAACGCGTATTTGCCTTGCGTGAAATGACCCATCTCCCAGGCATCGTCGGCATCTTCAGTCGTAGGCAGTTCGGGCAAGCGTTGCTCGGTATCGCCGTTGGGTCGAAGTGATTTAGCCTCGACATCTCTCTTGTCGTAATTCTTCACTCTGTATACAACCCCCCTTGTCGGGGGCTTCTCGAGCCAAACTCGAGCATACCGCTGTATCGCTGCAGTCCGCACAACTGAAAGCCCCAGATGGCGAATCATACTCATGATTATCGGTGTCGCCTCTGGATCGGCCAAGGCCTCGGGTGTTGGGAAGCGTTCCTTGACCTTATTAAACGTAGGGATGGCCAGCGTCCCAGCTGTTTTGACGAGGAAGGTCACTACTACAAGCAGCCAAAACGGCTCGTGAGCAAAATCTTCTTGAATGAGGCCAAACTTTGATGCCGTCAGTCGTGGAAAAGGAATCGTTGAAACGAGACCAGCGCCGCGTTTCGATCTAGGAGACTGTTTGGCTGGCGATGGCAGGTTGAAGAAGGGAGATTTGACGGCCGTCTTTCGCCTCGGCGAGGGGCCGGCAAGACCTAGTTCTCCGACTTGATCCGGCTCAAGTCCTCGGGGAACAATAATTCGGACGAGTTCATCGGAGACGGACTGCTGGGCGGGGATGGCCAGGATGGCGCCTCTGCCCGAAGATCCCTGGCTATCTGCGGGCCGCTGACTTTTAAATCGCCGGCGTCATCATCATTCACTCCGCTAGCCGCACAAGCGGCGTTCTGGGCCTCTCCGGTTGGTTCCTTCGGAGATTTTCCGGTGGTGTCATTCGGGGCCTCATTCTCAAGAGACTGTTTGCGAGGCGTGATATTCGGCGTAGCATATCCGTTGTGGATGACTGCCGGTGTGTAGGCTCGAGCTGCGTCGGAAGCGAGCGGAGCTGGGGATGAAGATGAAGAGGGCTGTTCTGGCTGGATGCGTGGTGATTGTTCGGCCGCGGGAGGCGCGAAATAGTGGGATGTGGATGATTTGAGTGCGACTTTGCGTCGCTTGACTCGTTGGTTATTGGGTTGGGCATCCTCATCTTCGACCTCCTCCTCATCGTCCCGTACGCGCTTGAAGACGCACTCTCGCTTGATAATTCGCTCCCATTTGATGACAGCAGGTTGGGGAGCAGCGACGATGCCTGATCGATGAACCCGCAGAAGCGTGGCTAATTTTTTGATGGACTGGTCAGTCGCTGCCCAACCCTGACGCAGCTTGTCGGCAGCTAGCGTGGCTTCTTTAACCCGCGGGACGAAGGCTAGGAGATCTTGTGCATCGAGAGGGGATCTAGTCGGGCTCTGCTCCTTGAGTGAGGCCGCACTCTCGAGCATCAGGTTCCAATCCTCGTATCCGCTGAACAGGCCGACATCGTAGATGGCCAGCCTCTCGTCCCAGGGGGTGCCGGGTGCAGCGAGGACATCAAGCAAGAATGGCTTGTCGATTTCGGGGACGTCGAATCCGACGAAGACGTCGTCTGCTAGTGCATGCGCCATTGCTGATGATGTGGGTGGACTGACGCAGACGAATGAGCCGAATATCGCGATATGATGTTTGTGTGTACGTATGAGTGTGTGGGTGGGTATGTGGTGTGAGTGACAGATTGAGTGATGGAGTGAGAAGAAAGGAGTTTTTTCCGAGGTTGCGAGGAGTATTCAGGGAAGGGAGTGAATTGTTCCGGAGAAAGGTCTGAGAGAGAGGGCAGTGGACTAAAATTGAGTACGAAGCACCTGAGGATGACTTGAGAGTCCGAGCCGACGTTAATGGTGATCTAAAGGGGTTGAATTTCTTCAGTTGCCTTTGAAGTGAGGCCTGGGGACCGTTGAGGACGCCATTGTGTGTGCTGTAAGCGGTCAATGGTATTGAATTGCAGCGTCAAAGAACAAAACAATTGAATGCGGCAGGTGCAGGGGAAGAAACACGGCAAGGCAAGTGCGAAGGAGGGGTGAGGATTCCGTCTATCGTTTAAGGAATACCTTTGCAACGGCAACGGCGCTGATGAGGTGAAGTCGGGTCTGTTTTCAGGAGAACGTTTCTACTACGCAGAACAAAAACCTGCTGGAGGTGTGGTTGTTTAGCCTCATGCGGATCCCCTGGCGAGCCAGGTCCCCTTTTTCTTTCTTTCAGCGTCATAGCCTGGCACCCTGGGAGGCTTGGTTGGCTTTGACGCAGGATCTAGTTACCTTACCTTCGGTAGGAAAATAGAAACACGAACCGGCCACTGGCTCATGGCGGATGAATCGAAACAATTGGGCCGCCGATGAAAGAAACGGGAGCTCAAAAAACGGCGCCATCCGCGTGGAAGCCATCGACGTGGAGACTTGATGACGCCTTTGGTGTCTGTATTTATCCAGATCGCTGACCAACAACACCCGGCCTCATACACACAGAGTGACATACTACCCTACTGTGTAGATGCCGTGGTGCTGGGCATGACATGAGGGGGAGTTCCTGGCCTGTCACTGCTGCAGAGGGCCTTGATGATAAACCAGGTCGGCCCAGCTTATTGGACATCGCCTACCACAATCAGGCACGGATACATGGCTCAGCCAAGACGCCTAGCAATGCTAGCAGCAACTGTCCAAGTTCCAAGTCCCCTTCTCGAACAGTTGGTTGTCCACAGGGGTGCCTCACCCAGAGCCTCCTCGCTTTCCCCAGATTTTGCGATAGCAGAGATAACCTGGTTGGTAGGCTGCTATCGCATTGATCAAGTTACGCAATCTGGGACCCAGTCTTGTGACTTGTACAAAGGTCCACTCGTCGACCTTTTTTTCGCTCCTGGTTTACTTGGAATGGGCCTTGGAATGGGCGACAGCGATCCTCAGGAACCAGTGCATGAGAATCGTCTGCTCGAGCGTGTTCCATGGTGAGGGCAAATATTTGCATTGATTACACCAAGTATATGGCGTGCTCAAGCTCCGGTAGCTTCTCCAAAACGTTGCCCAGCGGTGCGGTGTCAAGGTGTCTCCCAGGAGCGGTGGTAGGTACTGGTACCCAAGGTGTTGCTTTGGACGAATTCAACGTACCTAGTTTGACTTCCCGCAAGTACTCGGGGAATGCAAAGGTGCCTCAAATTGGGCAAGTCCAGTCGAGGCCAGCAACCATTCCCGTTGGAAACATCAAGACGTTAGCATCCGGCACCAACACCACTGGCTAGACAGCATACCAGCAAATGGCATTCCAATATTTTGAGGTGCCTGGCCACCATCAGCGGAGACATTATTGAGATGGCAAAAGTGCGCGAGTTCCTCAAGATTTAGGCAATTACCCTAGCGACATCGAGGGTGGCAGTGACATGAGCCAGCCAAAGTCTATCCGGCGAGTGTTGTTTTAGTGAGCGGAGACCGAGATAGGCGTTCGGTGCCGCGGGTGCGTCTTTCGTCTTTCGTCTTTCGCACTCTGCGTGTCTGCTCCCCGGGTGCCACGTCTGCGGAAAGCCGAAGCGGGTACGTACCCAGTACCTACGGTGTGCGGTGTGCCGTTCCCCAGCGCAGCCTCTCTGCGTGCAGGTGCGGCCTGCCGTGCCTGCTGCACTGTCCCAGTGCAAAGTGTCTCGGTGCGTCCACTCCTTCCATGACGGGGAACGCATGATGAGTGGTCCACCGCGTGACGGCCTGTGGGGCCAGTCATGTCACGTGGACGCCTTCGCCCAATCCTTGCCTCCCGCCAGCCGGTCGCCTCATTTACTGCCTACTCCCCATTTTCGCTGTTCCTAAGAACTTCCAGATCCTATCCCAACATCCGTCCATCCCTCACCACACACCCCCCCCAGCGCGTCCTTGTCATTTTCACGAGCGTTCACCAACCCGAATCGAACACTCTCAGCGTCATCCGAGCATCGAGAGATGAGTAGTCGCGGCGGTAAATTAGCCCCAGAAGTCAACCGGTAAGTCCGATTTCTTCCAGTCGCGATTCTGCCTACCTGCTAGGCTGGTATATCTTTGCATCTTTTCCCTGCCTTGGCCGCACACGACTTCCGGCCGCCGGCCAAGGTCACCCCACGGCCCATGCCGACCACCTCCTTCCGGCCTCGCCTGCTACCTACCTCGATCCTACTATTCTGTGCTCCGATTGATACCTACCCTGGCCGGCGTGCCACTTGATGGAGAGACATGGCTGACTGGTTGTCGTACAGAGCTCTGTTCGTGAAGAACTTGAGGTAAGCCTCACCAACCCTTCGACGTTGACCCACGCGACGATTGGCATCAATGACTGACTCCGACATAGCTACAACGTAACTCCAGAGGAGTTGTTCGACCTGTTCGGAAAATTCGGTCCAATTCGGTACGCACCTATTGTCGACGACAAACACCGCCCTACCTCGATATCATTACTGACCCCTACCACAGACAGGTTCGTCAGGGCATTGCGAGCGGCACCAAGGGTACCGCCTTCGTTGTCTATGAAGACGTAATGGATGCGAAGCAAGCTTGCGACAAGCTAAACGGCTTCAACTTCCAGAATCGATACCTGATCGGTATGTCTGCCGATCATCTTCAACAATTGTGGATCCATACTAACCTGATGACTAGTTCTGTATCACCAGCCAGAGAAGATGCTCAAGTCAAAAGAGGACCTCGAGGCTCGTCAGGCTCGTTTAGCGCAGCTCAAGACACAGCACGGTATCGATTGACAATCCGACGGGTCTGCGGCACGCCTCCAGACACCTACCTCGTCTGCAGGCCCGTCTATTTCTTCATCTAAACGAACCACTTCTCCGGATCAGAAGACGATCCTCAGAAAGGGCAAGCCGACCATCACCGGGCGCGCACCCAGAACCGGTGTACGATTCGCCGACGGAGTGCTCCCCAACTCGCTCCGGGCCCAGACTTGCGCTTGAGGTGGTGGGTCGTTGTAAAACATGACCCGCCAAAAAATTCAAGCCTTGTTCTGGTCGGGGGTTCTTACGGTGCAGAGACACGCGCAACTTTTCTTGTTCGCTGGTTTTGGCTTGGCAAACGCCCGAAAACTCACTCAACCTCTCCTGGAGAGTATCACGACCTGATATGAATCTTGTGCGATGGCAGGGGCGATTAGGGGACAGGAAACCGGATTGAGCCGTCCGTGGATGAAGTCAGTCAACAACTTGGCAGTCCTCGGCGGTGTTGTTTTATATCATTTTTTTCTTTCCTTTTGCTGATTTGGGAAACGGAGGGGGGCGTATCACCTTTGCTTGTGGATCACCATCCTTCGACACTCTTCACACACTACAAGTTGCTATCAAAGAATGCATGACAACCGAGGCACCGGCCTCGTGTTCCTCCTCCTCTTGTGTCCTGACACTGTTGGGCCATACGAGCTATTTTTTGCTGATGTCGTAGTGAATATCTAGGGTCCTATGTGCGTATACTTTCCAACGTTGTGACCACCCATTCCATGAGTTGCCCAGCCTCACTGCTGGACATGTCATCATTGGCCGTCAGACACCTTTTAACCACCTGCTTGTACAGCTTTCCGGTCTTGCTCCCCAGTCCTGGAACCAAGACTGGCAGGATGACCCTATCCCTCCACTTCTCCGCCGAGTAATGCGGCTTGTAGTATGTCTGCAGCACCTTCCACAGCCCAATTTCCAACAATACAAGCCCTAGGCTGTACACGTCGTAGCCCTTGCAGTACTGCTTCCTCCCGAGACCAGTGCCCAGCGATCGGGGATCTCTGTGGAGATCGAGGATGCTGGGGTTCCGCGGGTTGACGCTCATCTCGGCGTCAAAGTCTGGACGTGAGGCATCGAAGCCGACTAGGTACGGGGACCCGATGTCCGGGACGACGGCGGCGGAGACGGTCGTAGCGCGAATTGCGGCGAGGGAGGCGGCGGAAGGGAAGAAGAGGATGTTTGCGCTGCATAGGGACTTGTGGAGCCAGTCTAGGGAGTGGAGGGACCAGAGGGCGCAGGCGAGGGTTGACGCGAGGGTTATGCGGTCGCCTAGGTCTGGCGTTTTCAGGTCTGGGGAGGAGATTAGAGTGTGGAGCGTTGAGTGGGATGTTGCTGGTTGTGGCTGTGGTGATTCTGCTGCTGCTGCTGCTGCTGCTACGGTGTCGGCCTTGGTCTTGGTCTTGGTCTTTGTGATAGGCAGGGAGTCCGAAGGCAAGGATGGTTGAGTGAGCAAGGGACAGCGGTAGACGAGGCCGTAGCGGGCGTTGTTCGCGTCGTCGGTGTAGCCTACGCAGTCTATCGTGTGTAGGTCCGGGTGGTTGGAGGAGGCCGAGTGCATCATGCGGGCGAGGTCATCGAGGCGGCGGAGATGGAGGAAGCGTTCGTCGGGCGAGGAGGGGTCGTATTCTACCCATTCTACGAGGACTGGGCCGTGGGTTGTGTGCGTTGCGTGGGTGCGGGTTGTGTTTGTCGTTGATGTTGATGTCAGGGAGAGGAGGTTCAGGGAGGATGAGGAGGGTGAGGGGGCTGGCTTCGCGGTGGAGGAGTTGCGGCGTTTGGCCCCCGGGGTTGGGGATGTTGGTAACGGTGGTGAGAGTAACGGCGTGGTTGTTGGCGAGGAGCTCAGATCGAGGTCCGTACGGGGGATGCGGAAGGCGAAGGTCGGGCGGAAGGAGGCCTGGGGCTCGGCGTCGAGGTTGATGCGTAGCTTTTTCAGGTTGGCGGAGGCGGTGAGCTGCGGGTAGGAGTCTGCGGAGGAGGACTCGAGGAGGGCGAGCTGGGCTACGTCGCGGCGGGCCGAGTCGAGGAGGGAGTGGCGCCAGGAGCGGTGGAGGGAGGGGAGGAGGCGTGGTGGGAAGAGTTGTTCTAGGCCGTCGTTGAAGTCTGGTTGTTTAGGTGTTAATGTGCGAATATTGGGTTGTGTATGGGAGTTTAGGTGGGAGGTTTACATTTCAAGTCTGTTAACAAGGTTGTGAACTTCTCTTTGTCTGTCATAATCATTAGCGATCTGACATCATACACACAACAAGATATCAATAGAGAGAAGAAACATACCAGCAATAACCCACTTCGCCCTCCTCGAGATCTCCTTCCTCCAATCTCTCCTCTTCCCCTCCCCTCCCTTTTCACCATCAACACCACCACCACCACCCAACTTCCCGGTCCCTCCATCAGGACCACCACCATCCTCCACAAACCCATACCTCTCCCTCAACTTCCCAAAGTCCGTAACAGTAGCGTGCAACTCCCTCATGATCCCCTCGGCCAACCCGGCCATCCTTGGATCACCTGCCTCGCGACTGAACCCGTTCAGGTGCGCCTCCAGCCGGCCCTCGGCGACGCCCCACCCGCGACCCCAGACGACGAGGCGCATCTCCTCGATGCGCACCTTGCACAGCAGCCGCTGCGAGTCGGCGTCGAGGTTGGCCGCCGCGGAGAAGTAGCCGTATGCCTTGACGCAGCCGTCGAAGAGTTGACCGAGGAAGCCTACCACGCCTATTGCTGTGCCTATTGCTTCGGCCATGTTTGCAGGAAAGGGGTTCTGGATTTCGTTGGTTTCTCTCTGTTGTCTGATGCGTGATATTTCTCTACCTTTCCTAGGTGAGAGGGACTTGCTCGTGTCTTTTTTTCTTTTCTTTTTTGGTGCGCTGGGTTATCCCTTCTTTTTTTTTCTACTTTATCTCACAATATCGAATTTTGAAGGACTTCGGGTATCGTCTCTGGAGTAGGCTCTTTCCGATTCCCCGCATGTGTTGTTGAAGCCAAAATCGTCGTACTACGTCGAAAACGGGTCAACGATCTCTCAATGTGGGAACACGGAGAGGAGAGGTTAAAGTGAGGTTACACCGCTTTCTTCAACGATGGTACGGCCTTGAGATATCAGGTGTGGTCAATCTCAAGCTGGAATAAGCGAATACAAACAAACCGAATGTGACTCCAAACTTTCAGCTACAACCCTCTTAACCGAGGTTTGAGAAACCAAAAAAAAATCGAATTGGTCATGAAAAACTTGTGAGGATAGTTGGAAAGAAACAAGTAAGCAACGGGAACATATGATGCCAGGCCCTCGACATCCTGCATACGGGTTCCTAGAGGGGTCGTTGAAGACCTGCATATGATCCACATCAAATCTCACCCAATCGCAAAGAGTCTTCTCGACGGTTGTGTTCCCCTCATTGTTGTAGCCACCTTTGATGCAAGTCACCTCGACCGAGTAGCCAATTCCAGCCCCCTTCTTCGCCTTAGTGCCGGAGCTTGGCGGACGCCTTTGACCAGGATTAGGGGTCAACAGTCCACACATTGTCGAGTTCCAGCTTAGACCATCTGGCGAACCTCAGGACAGTCATTCAGCAGCAGACACGATACGAGGGGGTATCCAGAGACTTGTATGAACTTGAATATATCTTCTCCATTTCCTAAGCGCACTGCTTAAACTGTCCTTTTCCCACTATTCAATCCTTTCTGTGTCTACCCATCATATATGCGGCGATGGGATCCCGTTGACCCAACGCCCAAAAAAATGCAACTGCAGTGCGGGAACAAGGTTGCAAGCCTTTTGAATGCCATTCGTAATGCCAAGAAAGCGACTAGATGATATCGATTGTCGTTCGTCTTTCTTTTCCCTAAAGGTATGAGATCAGCCCTTCCGAAACTGGGCTTTGTGTTTTTCCTCCTCAGGAGTTCTTCTCCTAGTAAACCTTCTTCTTCTCGTCGATGGAAAACTGTCCAGGTCCGGCGTTGACGAGCAGGAGAAGACCGCCGACAATAGAGAGGATCTGGAAAAAGTCGTACTTGGCGAAGTCCTTGTGGGGGTGGTGCTCATGCAGCTGCAAATCATTAGCATACACACGTCGGGCATTGAAAGAGGAAAGCTGGAAACGCTTACAGTCCAGAAGTTGTTAACGAGGATGTTGAAGATGCTGAGAATCAGGACCAGGAGAGTGGCGCTGAACTTGGCCTTGAAACCGACAACAACCATGACGCAGGCAACGAAGCCAACCAGGGAGGTAATGATGCGCCAGACAGACCAGGAGCCGCTGAAGACGAAGCCGACGAAGAGGAAGATGAGCAGGACACGGCCAGCAAGCTGAAAGTACATCTTGCGGTCCTTCTCGTCAAGCTGGGGCAGACCAGCAAAAGCCTTGGTCTTGCGAACCCACGAATCGGAGAGAACCATGAGAAGACCACCAATGACTGACAGGTTGCGGAGGAAGAAGTTGAGGTCGAAGATCAAGCCGTATCCCAGAGCCTGCGTAACGACGACGCCCATAAGGCCGGCGACCGCGTAGTCGGAGTACTTGCGGATAATGACGAGAGTGGAGCATGCGACCATGGCGAGGACGTTGACGATGAGGAACAGGTGGGTGATACCCGAGGGAACTGTACAAAGTTAGCACATCCGATTATTAGCGCAGATGTTGTAGAATTGGAGACATACTGTGGCGGTAATCGTGAAGGTACAGGAGCTGGTCGCTCCATTGCGTAATGATTCTAAGAGCATCTTCGAGGAAGGTAACGACGATCAGGAAGCGACCAATCGCAGGCAGATAACTATCGGGCAATGTTAGCCAACATCAGACTCACGCAATGGCGAGCTATCCGACAGCTCCCTGTCAAGATGCCGAGGTTCCAACTCACGGCTTGATTGGCTCGCTGAGAGTGTCCAGCATGTCTTCAATCTTGCTCGTCTGTTGACGGATCATGTCCAAGGGGCTGGACTCGGAGCTGTCGCCACTGGGACCGCCAAAGGAGGCGGAGGGGCCACCGGCACCCAAGCCGTAGGAAGGGCCTCTCTGTTGAGCCATCGCGGGGAGCGGGAGATCGACGAAGGGAGTGAGGTCGTAGGAGAGGTAGACGTGGCTGTTGCACAAGAAGGTACAGACAGACCAGCTGTTCGATCTGGTGACTTTATTTCTTTCGAGTCGTCGTTTTGGTCGTCGGAAACGACGGAGTTTTCTGGTGGAGAGACGAGGGGTCTGAACCGTGAGGCGAAAAAAATGAGGGTTGACCGCAGTTGAGATCCGAGGGCTGGCCTTGACCTTGACGTTTCGGCAAAGGTAATTGGGGGTGGGAGGGTTTGCGACGATGGAGAAAGACAGAGAGGTAGAGGAAAGGATTGACAAAGGTAGACCGTTGGCGCTCTTGGGAGAGAGTTGTCGTGGCAGTGCCGTGAACTGTGGAGGGTCTTGGGTTTGTGTGTCGAAAAAGAAGGGGAGCGACTTTTGAGTGTCGAAGGGAACGAAATGGAGAAACCAGAGGGCAAGCTGGCCTGAATGGCGTGGATGACTTCAGATTTGGTACAATGTGTCCTTTCGAGCCTCCCGCGATGGCTACTCAGTGCTCAGAGGTCCGAGGTACCCACTTTTTAGACAGAACACCCAGAAAGGGTAGGTCGCTGGGATGTACCTGCACCTCCCTTCGGTACATGGATCTTTGCCGTAGACACCCGCCCCGGCTGAGGTACTCAAGAGGGGGAAAAGTACCGGCCACACACATCTCACACAATTGGAAGCCATAAGGTAGTTAGCACACCCGACACCTCGCTTGTCTCCGTCTCCAGCGGCACAAGCAGTAACCTCCACTGTATTTGCACCTTATTAACAGCCACCTCGCCTTCAAGCTTCAATGTGCCCGCCCACGAGCCTACGGCTCGAGGTACGTATCCGCAGATGGTGGACTGCAACCATCCGTTTGAGCCACTGAGGTCTTGCCGCTTGCCCGTTCTAAACTACTGCGTGTGGGCGGTTGGCCCCTGCACGGCTTTGTCCCTGAATTCGGCACGAACGCCTAATTCTATTTTTTTTCCCCTCTTTTCTCTGAGTACCTGGGTAGCTCCAGCTTCAACCCGCTTTTTGCCTCCGTGTGTTTTACATTGGTTGCGAGCGTGGATGCTCTTCATGGCGAACACGAACCAGCAGAAAAACCTACTCACATTACATCGAGTTGCTGCAGAGATTTGAAGTCTTTACTTCTTGATATTGCCCGAAATACAATCCAGACCAAAGAGCTCTCAGGCAAGGGATAAAGGTAGTGAGTTGTCAACTTTCACTTTGCTTGAAGCTCTGAGCTTCCATCACCTGATTGGCAGGCCATCCCTTGCCTCACTTGCAACCTTCCTTTACTGGTTGGCGGCTTCTCGCGGGGAGCTGTTATCAACGAACACAGCTTAGAGTCCTAGGTGATGTCTTCACCAACTGCCCTCTTCATCTTCGCGCCAGATTCTGCATGTTCGTGAACATTTGAACGGCAATCGAGCCGGAGGTTCGTCGGATCTTTCGGTTAGAAGAGGGCGCACATCTTAATGGCATTGTGAGGCGAGTCAGTCAAGCATGAATCTTAAACCACGCCCGGGCTTCGTTCTTCAGCAGAACACATGACTTGACCAGTTTGCAATTCTGAAATGATGGGCAGAAGATACTGCGAGTTTTTTACACACGCATCGAGATCTACTGAGAACAAGGCGAACTGAAAGACACGGGACACCGTCCAAACAGCTCACGCATCTCGGATGGATGGGGGCCATTCACAAAAAGCATGCTAAAATTGAACGGAACTCCAAATCATGAGACCTTCATCGAACCTCAGCCCCTCTCATTCACCGCCGGCTTCCTCCCCCAAACAGAATACCTAATCTCAGTTAGTAAATCCCCACGGTGCTTCAGAACGGTCAAACTCACACTGAAAAGTATGCGTGAATATTCCGATCATTGATATCCTTCCGCACATCGACAAGGAACACAAGAACCGCCTCCCTCGACCACCCGTGGATCCGAGTGAACGGCGCCATAATGAAGCCCTCCATACCCGCAGTCAAATTCTCATTCTGCCAGACGCCGAGCTCCTTATACTTGTGATGCCGCGGCCAGGAGTTGGTCGGCCACTTGTACCTCTCCAAGACGACGTCGCGGAACCCGATCTCGACCATCATGTCCTTGAGCTCCGGTATGTCCTGATACGGACGACCCAGCTTCCCCATGGCCTCGCCAAGGAGTTTGAGGGATTTGGTGAAGGCGAGATCGTCGGTTAGGGTTCCGTCGTCTGAGGTTGGGATTAGGTCCATCTCGTTCAGCTCGAGGTAGCCGCCGGGTGTGAGGTTGCTGGAAGTATTAGTTGATACAAGTTCCCGTGTCGGCCTTCTGGATTGGGGATGGCTTACTCGTAACAATTTTGTAGGTATTTCCTCCAGTCCGCAAGACTGGATGTCATCAGACGACTGTGGATATAGTCAAACGGTCTCGAAAACGTCCATGGCTCCTCGATGTCGTCAATATCAAACTTCACATTGGGAGGTACGCTGAGATGGTCAGTTCATCATCCCAGCTTCACATGACGGTGTACATCAATGAACACTCACAACTCCGGTTGAGCGGCTGAAAGATCGATTCCCAGAACCTAGAAGGCGTCAGTTGGTGTTTTGGTCAAAGACCGTTTTGGGCTTACTTCAGCTTCCGGGTGTTCATCGCCAAACTCGATAGCCCATAATCCGGTCCCAGTACCGACATCCAGAACGCGATTTACGGGAAAGTCTGGGTCGTTTGGTGGTGCGGTTCCCAGACGGTTGTCGAAGGTAAGCAGCCACAAATTGTGTTGCAAGTCTACTTACGTGAGAGGTCTCTCTGGGTTCCCACAGCGAAGAAGACTTACCTAGTCTGTCGTTCTCTCTCTCATCATTCGGGTAGCTATATTCTATGTGCCCGTCAGAAGCCCGGACACCATGGGGGGTCTCGAGGGAGTAAAGCTCTCACTTCCATCTTTGTACCGATGATATGTTCTGCCGTTCTCCTTTCTGTAATCGAGAATGGAGGCGCTCACGCTCGTAGTTGACGATGCAGTGCCCTAAATTGAATATCATCAGCATGTCTTCCGGACAATCAAGGCAGTGCCAAACCGTCGTACTCCGTAATCTGATGTGGCATCATCTGCAGCCTGTAGGTTTTGATATCAGTAAAGCTATACTGCAAATAACAGAGACGAGTCACATCACCTCCTCAGCAGCAAGCACCGCTGCATTCCCAGCGTGGTCTTGAGGCGACTGAGGCTGGGCCGGACTCGATGACGCAGGACTCCTGGGCGAAGGCATGATAACGGTTCTGTAAAGGTTTCAGGTTTGCTTTCCGCTCACTCACGCAGTCTTCATGCCCCAAGAATAAAGTTTGATTTATTTAGTAAACAGAGACAACCCTCAACATAGAGACTCCATAGCTTTCCAATACCCCTCTCTATTTCACCTCAGGACTATTTGTATCAATGCGACAGCGAGAAGTCGGTGACCAACGAGCCGTAAGCGACAGCGAATCCTTACCCCGGATGCCAATGTCGCAGTGTCCAACTCCATGACTCGAGACCCTGTCCCTGGACGGTTCTACCAATCCGCTCGCGGGACGATACGAACCAAGTGGGCTTCTTCAGACGGATCAGCGAAAATAGACAGATGTTGGTCCTAGATTTACGACCAACTGCCGGTGTACCTTATCTGACTACGTGTGTAAGAGAACCTGCGGACGGATTGGGTATCATTCAATGGAGCGAAAGACATTGCTCCATTATAGGAAGGACCCGGGTGGAGAAATTGTTCAATTAGAGTAATGGAAGTACGAGGCTGTTTCCTCCTAAGTAAAGCAAGCTCTGTCCCGGGAAACCTCGAGTCTCGGAGCCGCTCCGGCCCCGGACTCTATGGTGGATCTCTGAATGTCCTCGAGCCGCGCGCCACCTGCTTTGCCGTTCGTAACTCCCTACAGGGGCCTGTCGCTATGGAGACTGCACCGTTATACCATGTCATCCGGGTGGTCGGATTGTCCTACATGAACTTTGAATCTGAGACTCGGGAGCATAACAGCTTGTCAGATGGGTTCATGGATTGATAGATGTTCAGAGCTTGTGTGAACAATGACACTCGGAAGGCGTTCTCAAGCACTCTTGGCTATGGTTTTTTACCGCTGCGACGGTCTTGTCCAGACAGCACAGGAAGGCTGGTGGTGGAATAGGTTCCCGATGCCATGAAGAATTAGACTGCCGTGGGAGGTGACTTGGCGTCCATATTTGAAGACGACATTTGAAGTAAAAGATGAGGATATCGATATCCGATGGTGGCACCTTACAACAATGGATGGGAAAGGCACATCTATACCCTCAACGTGGACCAGGTTTCTGCTCTATAATTATTGTGTCTTGCTACCCCTTTCACTTTTATTCATCATCCGAAATGGCTCTCTTCTGCTGAGGTGCGATCATCCACAACTCACCGGTCCCAAGTGGTGAAAGAGGAGACGCACATCGTCGACTCAACTATATGGCACCTGGGACCTTTGTTTAGCAAAGATGCTAAGTAGAGGGGACCGAGGCCTTCTGAATAAGAAATCCGATCATGGACGATCTTCCGCGAAGTTTGCGGCTGAAATGGGAATTGATAAATCGGCTAGTTTTGGGCCAGTCAAGAGGTCTTCAGGATAAGGGCCTTGCATCGGCGTCGTGAATCGACAGACGAGTGGCGTACAGTTACATTCATCTACCCTGCTCTCGGCTGTTGGAGACTCAGACTTTACTGAAAACCAAAAAGTTTGACTCCTCAACCCAGCTCTTTCCACGTTTGTTTCCTCTGTTGCGTATAGATTTTGTTTGATAGCATTGCATAGGCAAACGAGGCTCGGGACTCAATTGACGTCGTTTTCACATTCCGACATCCAACTTAAAAGCTAGCCACAGGAAGATTCTGAATGTTAATGCGCCAATCCACTATTTGCTCACACACAATCGCGACTGTCGGCCGGAGTTATGAATTGGACGAGGGACAAGCGTGGATGACAATCCTTTCCCGCCAGGGAATTGGCACCCGTCTCACTCCAGGTCTTTTACTCAGTGACAGACAGCATCAACAATCGCAGAGTGAGAGTCTTAGCCATTCAGACTTTCGGTCATTGGCTGTCTGGGCTCATATGTTCACTAAATGTATGTAAGCTATTGATTGCACTTCACGACATGTCGTATTTAGTAGTGTTGGTGTGATCGTGATGAGGTCAAGTCTAAGGTCTCAGATAGAATCTACAAGACTTTTTTGGGGAGGAGGCTGCAACCCCATGAACCTGGTAGCTTCATAGATCAACATAGTCAGGATAGTTCGCCAGTCTACCGTCCAGGCGTTGATGCAGTGTCTTTGAGTTAGCACGGTAGACGTTTCGCAGTATAGAGTGGGCGGTTTCAAGAGCTAGGATAACGTCGTTTGGATAAGACTATTTGCTTGGGATGCGAGCTTCACTAGTATGTACCAAACTCTTAGCCTGTGATGTGTCGCTGGCGTAAAGTAAGGGGTTCAGACATCCCACGGAGACGCGGTAATGAGGGCAACCGCGACCAGTTTTGGCCTTCAGGCTTCAGACTTCAGACCTCTCTTATTACCCTAGTGATCTTCTCTGTCTTGAGACGAAGCCCATTGGCGTCATGAGTAACTCGTGACTTTCGGAGTATTCCATCCTGTAGATTACTCGAGTAGGGATGGAAAGGCAGTGGTATGGAGTTAAGATTTATCAACCTTGGGCCCTCTTGCGTAGCTCTGGGTGTACTTGTTCTGGATTATACGATACGGCTATAAGTCGCTTCTGAGCTGGAGGTCCTTCTGAACGATGCGTTGCAAACTGCCTCAAGTCGCAGAAAAGTTGCCTTGGTCCATGCGAGAGCTCCAGCACAATGTCTTGCCTCTTCATTATAGAGAATAGATAGAGAATCGAGACTAAGATAAGTGGACACAACTTGTAATTCCTGAGGTTATCTGTCACACCTTCCATCGGAAGGACTTGAAGGACCGCAAACAGTCCGCTTGTCGACCTGATCTATGTCTGAATTTGACTGATCCAAGACAGCCTCACAAACTAAATAAATGCCTTGAACCCTTGACAAGCTAAAAGCAAGGTTTCCAAATGCTGAACACAAAACCACGCTCCTATCAACCATCTTTCAACTCCACTTACTCCACAGCCTTAACCGCCGGCGTCAAGTGCACCATCAGTGGCGGCTTATTGTAGAGAATGTAGACGTCGTGGTCGATCCAGCCCTTGCTCTGGGCAGCCAGCTGAAGGTCAAAGTTCCAGATGACCTTGGCGAGGATCATCTTCATCTCGGCGTAGGCGAGGTTCATGCCCAGGCAGTTGCGGGGTCCGATGTGGAAGGGCTTAAGGGCCTCGAGGTGGTCGTCGGCGAAAGCCGGATCGTCGAGCCAGCGCTCCGGGTGGAATTCAAAGGGTTTCGAGAAGATCTTTTCGTTGTGGTAGAGGGCCCAATGGGCGACGCCGATTGTGGTCTGAAGGATAGGTACGGGCGTTAGCTTGGTTAAAGGGGGTAAATGGGGAGGGCGCTTCTGAGAACGCACATTTCCAGGGATCCAATGTCCAAGAATCTCTTGTCCAGAGGGCGGCGTAATACGCGGAAGCGCGACGGGAACGGGAGGATAAGATCGCAGGGTCTCCTCGAGGACGGCGTGGAGGTACTCGAGCTTGGCGGTGCTGAGGAGGTCAATCTCGTCTTCATTCTGGAACGAGGTCCTGACCTCCTTTTGGAGCTTAGCCAGCTTGTCTGGGTTGGTCAGGAGGAGGTAGGTGCAGCCCGACAGAGCCGTCGCTGTCGTCTCGGAGCCGGCGACAATGAGGACGCCTGAGTTCTCGTACATCTCTGGCATGTTCATTGGCTGCCAACGCCCTGTTAGTATCTGAGAATTGACCAAGAGATGGGAGTTCTGCCTTTCGTCGCGTTTTGTAGGCGCAGAGGTAATTAAGTGTAGGGAGGTTTCTTACCTGGGCTCCCTTCTTAAGCATGGTTTCCGCAAAGTCAGGTCTCGGTGTGCCGAGAGATACTCTTTGGTCGACCTTTTCACGGACGAATAGCTTGTGAGCCATGCCCTTCTTCATGACTTCCTTGGGGATAAAGGCCTTGAGAATGGGTTCAAGGACCTTGAAGCTCCTGGTGATGTTGACCATGCAAATCATCTTGATGTTGGAGAAGATCACCTTGACCCAGGGGTGGTAGTCAGACTTGTCAAGGCATCCAAATGACTGTCCAAAAGCGAGATCACCAATAATGTCAAAGGTGGTGTAGTTGTACCACGATACGACGTCGACAGGGCCCTTGCTGCAGATACCGTGGAGTCGCTCGATTAAGAGGTCAATGTAGCTCTTAATGATGGGCTGCTGCTCCTGCATGCTCTTGGCGGAGAAGCCGTTGGACAGGATGCGGCGGTAGCGGGAGTGGTCCTCGCGGTTGGCCGAGATGATGTCCATGTGGTTCTTGTCGATGAAGTCCGGATCTTTGGCGTTCTCCTCGGTCTTGCCCTTGCGATGGCCCATAATCTCCTTCATTGCGTCTGGGTGCTGGAAGGACAGCTCGTTGGGCGAGACGCGGATGATTTCGGCGTCGTAGTACTGGTGGAGGGCGAGTATCTCCTTGTGTGTCTGGCCGCGGGCGCCCATCAATGCGTAGGGGATACGGGTAGCGGCCCATAGCTTGGGGCCAGGGTACTTGCAGAGAGGGTGGAATGTTACGTTGTAGATGATTTGAAGGAGGAGGCAGATGACAACCTGAGAGTGTTAGGAAATTTCGACTCTGTTGAGGTGAAGGAGAGAATAGGCTATGGGATTAGTATACGGAGGGAGATGTATACTTACTAGTGAAATTGCTACTAGAGGCCATAGAATAAAAGGTGAGAGTCTTGAGCTCCCAAATTGGTTTTCTGGCAGCATCTTGGTTGCGCTATTTCTGGGCTGAGTGAGCAGAGGTCGGCACGCAACCTGTCTAGAACGAACAGTTTCTCGCCGCTCGTTTCTGTAGGAGATTTCTGAGAGAACAATATTAGAGTGTGGTGATAGAGTCTTATCAAAGTCTCAAACGCGGAGGGCACTGGGGGCTCTTATATGCCACTCGGACTGTCTTCGTCGACATAACTTTCAGAGCAAAGGAGTACGACATGACAGTATAACCCTCAAATCCCTACAGATTACAACGTCACAATGTTTACTATACGCTCACCGGTCATTGGCAAAGCAGGGTATCCGCACACCAGGCCATCGGCAGGCAAAACACCATACAAGGCGCAGGTTC